TTGAGTATTGATTGAGAGCTTTTGAGGTAAGTATCTTGCCTAACTTTGTGTAGGGGAACTACCCAGTAGGGATTAGTTTTATGGCACTATTTGAATTACGTGGAAGATGTATATACGAGGTGACGAGTGTGTACATGGCCTTATATATGGAAATTTGACCGATTTAGACTCTTAGGTTTCTTATATACAATTATTAAAGTTTCCCTATCATGTTATATCCTCCATTGTTAAATTTACTCTTACATGTTTTATTTAAAGTTGTTAGTACACGTTCTACCTTTTATTATCAAATATACTCTTGTATGCTTTAATTGAAATTGTTGTCTCTTTTATTGTCATGTTATCTCTTTCATTGTTGAGTTATTCTTATTTGAAGTCGTTGTTACATGTTATCTCTCTTGTTGTTGAGTTATTCCTATTTGAAGTCACTATTACATATTATCTCTTTCATTGTTGAGCGTATTCTTTTGTTTCATTGTATTGTTGCAATTTGTGTATTGATTTACTTTCCGTACTCCCGTGTCATTGTTGTTGTTGTTGTAATCAATGTTGTTGAACCGAGGGCTATGTGTGGTTGTGGTATTGGAATTATTGTTATGGAAATATTGTGGCATATGGGTACGTGTGGTGCGAGTTGTTATGTTAAGTTATTATGTTTTTGGCACATGCGGGATTGTTGAGAGGATTGTAGGGGTGTTTGCATACGAACAATCAGTGCTATTGTTATTATTGATATTTGCACATGCGGCGAGACAAGGAGGGAATTTACTTTATTGTTGCTCACGCGGCGAGACAAGAGGGGCCATGTCGGGGATGATTTGTGATGGCCTGGGGGCATTATCATTGATGATATTTGTGTGATGGTGCGACTATCTTGTGTGAGTCATGCATATTACGGGTTTTTGTTGTGTTGTTTCCAATGTGCTATTCGGTGTCACTGATATTACTTGTTGACTTGGGTTGTTGTGATAGTACACCTGCACAAGGATACACCATAATCTGTAACATGTTGTCATGCCCCAGCCTTGGGAAGTGCGACCGACGCTCAACCGAGTGAACCCGATCGAGCAAGCCTGTTAGATACTTTCTACCCAACTCACCCATGATCAAGAAAAGACATGATTTCATTAATTAGACAGTAGGAAGTTCATACATACAACGTTAACCCGTTTCATTAGTTACTATACTATTAAGTCTCAAAATACACAACATAACTTGTTTGACTTTTCTAGTACCCATGTACAACTCACATAGTGTCTACAGAGCCTCTAAAAGATACAAAAGAGTGTTATGAGAGTGCCGACAACAAGACCCCGGCTATACCTTGAGACATGATAATAATAGGAACAAAAGATACAATACGTAACCTCGGGATGAAGTAGGGATCACCAAGTCTGCTGGGAAGAGGATGTGCTACTAGCGCTGATCAACACTGCCTGCTATGTAACCAACTGCATCCATTTAAAGATGCAGCGCCCCTGGCAAAAGGGACGTTAGTACCGTCGAATAGCACTAGTATGTATAGCTAAACACCATCTCAATAGAATGAATAATAATACAAGGGAAACAGTCAAAAATTCAATACGAGCTTCAAATAACATTAAAACATCAAGTTTAAGATCACATAAGTTTTCAAGTCAATTTTCATGTTATTAGGTTGGGTGATCTTTATTACCGATATTCCATAATTCACAATACCACCATATTCTTACACGGAGTCCGATCACGACCCGATCGGCTTGGTCGTCTCACTTGAGACATCAACCATAACCACAATTTTAATTATCATTTTCAGCACAGTCACCACTATGTGTGTGGCATGGCGTCCGATCACGGCCCGATCGGCTAAGCCATCTCACCCAAGACGTTACCTTTTTCAGTACATCATACTTCTTTCATATCTTCCCGATTCATTGGCACTAGTGATCATAATTACAAAGTCATTCTTGGCACTTGGCCGTATTTCATAGTTCCAGTTTCCTTTTCCACATTCAAATATCATTATCATTATCAACAACAATAGGGATTCCTATTCAAGATATTAAATTCACACATGAGCAATTTGGGAAATCTTAGGCACATAGAGGCCTTCATACAATTTAGCATAACAACCTTTATTTCAATCTTGACATGAATTTTTAACATTTCTAACACATATTTCATATTTTGAACACATTCTCAAATGGCAAGATGGCATGATGAAGCATTTAGAATAAATATTGAACATACATCTTTCAACACGACCACATTAGGAATAGCCAATTCAATAATGATCAAGGACTTATTCTAATTACATGAACACCACGGGATACGATTCTAAGAAGAAGGGGGTTTAGCCAACATACCTCAATTGAGCTTCTCAAACTCCAAAATGATCCGGAATTCTTAGCAACTTCAATCTATTTTAGAAATGTAACGAGTTGAACCAAAAATTAGGAAGATGGTCATGGTTTTAGCTCATTTGAGCATTTTATCAAATACTAGGTGTGCATTAAGGTTCTAATGCCCTTTTGTGGAAGATTCCATCATTTCCCAACCCATTCTCTACTATTTTTATCTCACAACCTTTCTACATACTTCAAGGATACATGCATGCAAGACAACAACCCTCACACCCAATAATGGCCTCTCTAATTACCCCATTTTTGTAAAATTTTGAAATTGAGAGCTAGGACATAGATTCTTACCTTTAGGGTGAAGACTTCCTTTATTAATCCTCAATGGTTGAGCAAGAATTGAAGAGTAATTTGATGAAGATCACTTTCTCCCTCTAGGACTCTCTCTCTCTCTCACTCTAAAGTATCAGGTTTTCTCAAAAATGGCCCCTTACATCTATTTTAACGAAGTAGGGTCGGATTTTAAAAACTCAAAAATGAACCTCCGAAACAGGTTTTGCGGTCGCATATGCGACCGCATAATGGTTATGTAGTCCGCGAAATTGGGGTGCCAAAACTAGAAAGGAACTTACCAGGTCTGCGGTCACTATGCGGCCCGCAGACCTGTTCTACGGTCGCATAATGCACCGTAGAACGTTCTGCGATCGCATAGTGCACCGCAGAATCTCCCTCCGAAAAATTTCAAAGCGGGATATGCGACAAGAGTGCGGCCCACGAAATTGTTATGCGGTCGCATAATGGGCCGCAAAAATGACATTAAAAATGGCCCAGAAGACTGCTCCACTTTGCGGCCATTCTGCGGTCCGCATAGTGGTTCTGCGGTCGTAGAATGGGCCGCAGAAATGCCTACTTCTACCCAATATTTTCCTTCAACTCCCCAGCGCACTGTTCAATCCAAAAAGTCCAAACCGCAGCATGCAAGTTCTCCGTGAAGAATTTCTACTATTATTAACCTGTACGCCTACTTCGGCATCACGGAATCCGGGTTTTTAGGAAAAACAATTTTACGGGACCTTACACATGTATCAGTCCAGGAGTATAAATCTTGATGTTCATTGATCATGTATCTGTATTCTTGTATACCCACCTTCTATGTGAGGACTGGACTGTTTGCATGTGAATTGTCCGTACGGATATGAGATATTGTTACTGTTGGCACGTGAGTTGACCGTGGGATATGAGATATTATTAATGAAATTGGCACGTGAGATATCCGTGCAGTTGTGATTGATAATGTGGGCACGAGATACCATATGATTATGATTCGTGATTTGAGACTCGTGATTCGGGATTATGAGGGTGGTACTTCGGAGTGATTCTTGTGTAAACCTTGTGAGAGGACGGTTAATTAACTGGTTGTCATTGTTTTCCTTAATTGGTTTCAATGGTACTTTAAATGTGTTCTGATTACTCGTTGCATTATCATTTAGTTACTCCTGGTCGCTATTTGTTGTTTCTTTCATCCATTGCTAGTGTTATATGTTATTCTTTTAATGTTTAGCTTTACATTGAGTTTGTTCCTCTGTTAGCATTATATTAATATTTTGCACATGTTATTATGTCTAGTAGGTGTCTTGACTGTACCTCGTCACTACTCCACCGAAGTTAGTCTTGATACTTGCTGGGTATCGCTATGGTGTACTCATGCTACGCTTCTGCACATTTTTATGCAGATCCAGGTACCTCGGAGCGTGGTGGTCGTTAGTTAGCTCATTGTGAGTTGCTGCGGAGACTTCAAGGTGTACCTGTCATCGTGTTCGCAGGCCTCAGAGTTACCTTTTGTTGTCTTTCATTACTATTGTTTATTGTTATTCCAGAACAGTATTGTATTTAGAGTTTCTAGTGAACGTGGCAGAGCTTATAACTTCGTACCTCTGGTTTTAGGATATTGTCCATTTGTTGATCGTTGTTGGCTATGCATGGCATTTACTGGTTCATGTTTAATGGCTAAATGATTTAAATCTGTTGATAACTCGGTATGTGTTAGGCTTAACTAGTCTTAGGGAATAGGTGTCATCACGGCTATCTAAAGCCGGATTTTGGGGTCTCCACAGAACTACAAAAAAGGTAGTGGATCCGAGATGGAGAAAGCTTCAGAATGCTTGCCGAGAATTAGAAGTGGATTAGGAGTTTTCTATTAAAGCGAGAAGCTGATGGCTTTGAGCATGCAAAGCGAAGGCTATAACTGGAAACAAATTTTTATCCATCTTAAAACCAACATATTTCAGATTATACAAGTATGTCCCTTTTTTAATAAGATAAACCAAACATTCATCAAAAAATGCATATACACCAAAACAATACCGTGATTATTAATTACATTATTACAATCTCAATATTTTAATCCCTGTACAACTTTATCCAGTAACTAAACAACCTGTATAGATTATTTGAGGTAAAAGTACTTCGACTTTTTATTAGTAATTTTGGGAATCCCATAAAAATTATGAACTGGATCAGATCGCAACAGGAAGGAAAGAGGCGCTAAAAGAGAACAGTTTAAAAATCGATCAGGATCTCTTCTTTATATGTTAGTATGTTACCTGTAAAACCTAGGCTGCTTACCTGGTCACTTGAATAGCAACAATAATCACACAAAAGAAATCAATAAAAGAAACTAGAGTGCATGATTTATTGCTGGACTGAATGTAAATTTCACATTCCTGCTTGTCATAAATGTTAAGCTTGACCTTGATGTAAAAGAATATACATAGAAAGCAATGGTTAAGAAAAGGTATCTATCTAGTAACATTACATTGCACCAGTGTATGCCCCCGAGACTTCTAAGTTCCGCCATTGCAGTAATGCACGCCATTACTAACTGTGTCATAGTGTTTCATGTTTACTTGATTCATGCCCCATATGCGAATAGTATGATCATCACTTGCAGATGCCAACATATGAGGATTTGCTGGGTTCCAGCTAACACAGTTTACTGTACCAGAATGTCCAGCCAATGTCTCAATGAGTTCTCCTGAGCTTCTATGCCATATATAAACCTGAAAATATACTATCAGATCAAAACTTAACTGCTTTCACGGGTGTAAATGCAAGAGTAAATCTCAATATGATAAAGCATCACAGCACATTAAATAAACAGAAGTCAAAGCAAGGATAATTAAGGGGTCGCATGTCCCTTTGCTGATGATGGAATGAAAGGGACCCTGAAAGTTGGACTTGGATTTTAGAATTGATGCGGAATTAGGGGATGGAAATGAGCAATGAAACAGAACAAACTACAAATTTTCTAAGAAAGCCATTTCATACAAGAAATATTATCTCGCAAAATAATTATGTCTAATCTCTATTTGTAATTTCAACGGAAGCAACACTGTAGTACACATAAAAGTTACATTCTAAGCACAACAATGCTCTATCAGTTCCAATTTACATGATACCCTTTTCATTTCAGGATATTTCAGACTGTTTCACCAAATTTAATCCTATACAACTTCTAAGATTTCAGTCCTGTTAACTGCTCTTTAAATTTCAAACTTTGAAGCAATATCTTTTTTATTACTTCTCAACCATTATCCTGAGCCGAGGGTCTACCGGAAAGAGCCTCACTACCTTCCTATAGGTAGGTGTAAGGTCTGCCTACACACTACCCTCTCCAGACCCCACTTGTGGGATTACACTAGGTTTGTTGTTGTTGTTGTTGAACTTCTCAACCATTACAATAAAATTTTCTACTGCTACTAATATAATAAAATCAAATTAACAACTTAGAACTTTGTTTCCAATCAATCGCTATCATATGCAAAGGATGGAGTAATATTGTTTGTGCTAAACTTTACATTGAAGAACACGCCTAACAAGATCATCTATTAGGTTTTCACAAAAATAAATCTCTTCATTCCTTTTTTTTTATGACCGAGAAATTCGTCTAGAGCCGACCCTTTGAGCCAACTGCAGCCCTCGAAACTCGTCGAAACTCGGGGATGATGGGCCTGCCGCTCTACCCCTCTCCACTTAAATACCAAAGTTAGTTCGCTTGACACAGGGCTTGAACATGTGACCTAAGAAACAAGTCCCTCAAGCTTTGCCAATTGAGATAACCCCCGAGGGCAAAGACAGATCTCTTCATTCTCAAATTGGCATTTTTCTATTGCTCTTATTCCTTATTGAACAATAAAAGGATCAAAGCACAAACTGGATCATTTTCATCTCGAGACCTTTAACCTTTTTAATAATGTGTGATTAGAATTAATGTAACCCAATTCCTAATAGATTCACCCCACAATAGCATACCTTTCTTGGGTATTACTGCCAATTACTGTTCTGATGTGCAAATAAGAAATTTGATATTCTGCGCATGAGGTAAGTCGTGGAAAGTAAATTTATATTCAAAATGACAACTTAGAAATTTCGCAAGATTAATGGAGTTAGTGTTTTTCTTGATCAACAAGAGAAGCAGTACCTGTGAGTCCTCACTTCCACTGGCAACAAATGCTTGACCCAGTCCGCCAAAGCAAGACCTTACAACAAAGCGTGAACGTTTATGCCCTTTATATTTGGATATGAGCTTTACAGTTCCCTCTATATTCCACAGATGGATTTCTTGATTCCAAAGACTAACCAATAAATACTTACTGTCCATGGACAATACAAATGAAGTTATTGTTTGATCCTCCTGAATTACTTTCTCTGCTTTTGATTCCCATCCAAATAGTAATATCATATTATCTTTGCAAACAGAGACTATATGCTGCCCATCACTAGTTATCCCCAAGTCAGATATTCTAATAGTTCGATGGCCTTTCCAACACTCCAACTCTTTCCCTTCCAGATCCCACATGCTAATGCTCTTGTCCGTAACACCGCATAATATCCTTTTGCCATCAGGAGCCCATCCACATGAGATCAGACCAAGACCATTTTTCTCATAAATATGTGTACATTCACCTGATTCAATATCCCACCGTCTGACAACTTCCTCTACTCCACAAGTGAGAAGCTGATGGTCATCAGGACTCCATGACATATAGGAGACAGGTTTCTGGTGACCAGAAAACTGGTGCTTCATGCAGAACAAACCATCCAATTTCACCTACAAAGAACAGAAAGCTGAGAGCTGAAAAAGAACACTAATACTTTATGTTTAACACCATAGCATCCTAATAAGTTCCGATTACAAATAACACCACCTACATCCCCAGACAGCTTTCTATTCTCTCATCCCCTGTGTTTCCTCCATGACCCCAAAAACAGCTCCCCGAAAAAAAAATCAGTTCTCTCAAACTTTACAAACATGGAACAAAACATGGAGGAGAATGAACCTTGCACACCATACAAGTCAAAAACTAACTCCATCCAACAAGAATGCATGAAATCATATGCTGAGTATTGTGCCACATGACAAACCAAAAGAGCCAATACAAGTACCAACTCTTTTTACGAGTACATATCTTAGTGCTGATTTCCACATACAAAGCTTAATACCTTTAAACAGCAAAAGTATTACAGCGTCACTAGAAATAAGATTTTATAGATGTGTATAAATACGGAAATAGATAAACACCGAAAACTAATGACAATCAAGCTGCACTAACATTACTTGAAATACTATGTTATGTTTCAACAAAGAACAAAACACAATGAAAAATAATCTGTCTCTTTACCAGAAAAAATATTAATCCAGGATATACTTTTAGTTTCCTCTATTCAAATGACCAATTACTAGACACCCTTACAAGATCTGCGAGAGACTATGATTTATGAATAATCAAGCATGATTTCTTTTAGTAGACTATTTCTCAAGCTTAAGAGTTCATAACTGTGAAATGGATCACGAACTTATTCACACTAGTGAAGAAGATTGTTACTGTAATTATGTATGTTTCCATGTTTAGGGTATTTCTGAACTGTGTTTTATCCCTATAGCTTGAGGAAATAACAACAGACAAACAACAACAAATCCAGTGAATTCCCACAAGTGGGGTCTGGGGAGGTTGAGATGTACGCAGCTTGAGGAAATAATCAAGTTAAAATATTTTCCAAAACTTCCACTGCTCTTCTTTTTCACCACCCTCAAGTGGACTTAAACTCACCTCCCATATAATCACTGAACAATCAGCAGCTGACGAGGCTAAGTATTTTCCATCATGGGAGAACTGCAAGAACCATACTTCATCACTGTGATTTCGTAATATCTGGTGCATCAAAATCAATGAAAGAAAAAATTACACACCCAAGTGCTAACAAAAAATTATATCTGCAGAAATTAAACTCGAGTTAATCCACATATCAGTGAAGTTTAAATAAATCATAAACGTGGGAACAAAGAAATTGGTTCTTTTTTTTATTATAATAGAGAACGAAGAAAATTGGTTATCGGAAAAGCAAATATCGATGCACATAGATAGTAAATGGGAGCTAAGGAAAAGTCAATGAATTTTAGGATGACTTCTCTAGTCACTAGCCATGCAAAAGGACACTTTTAGGCGCCTTCGGTATCCATATCAACAATGTGGACAAACACTTCCCCAACAACAATTCCTGCTAGGAAATGAGAACATCACATCTCTCCTTGTGCCCATCTCTATGAATCCTAAAATAAGTGTGAGACGCTCTGCTTATAAAGTAGTTCCCCTAGCTTTGGAGTTCCCATATCTCCTTATCATGCAAGTTTCGTCTAAAACTTGGATCACATACAACTCTCTCTTGTACTCATCGGACCTGTTACACTGTCATCTCTGTCTAACTCAATGTTAGGGAATGGATGCCTCAGCATATTCTCTCCACAGCACCTGTGATTCCAAAAGCTTATCTTGCTACCATCACATATCCGGAAGGTTACTTGGTCATCAAAGTCTTCTCACCATTTCATGATGTTTCTCTATGAAACACATTCGGGCAGACGCATGATGTTCCTTCTCATCCACCCATCCCCTATTATGCCGTACTTTTCTTCTATCACCCCCTCCATAACGATAGTTCCTCCAAACCAAATCTCCAAAACATTTCCGAGTTCTTTCACTTTAAGTTTTCCCTATTTTCTTGTGTCTTGACAATCTTCCAACTCACAAAAGAACCTCATCGCCATTTGCGGTATTCCATAAAAAACTCATCTGGAGTCTCTAAAGTTTTTCAATCACGCTCACAGCCGCCTACATTAGTGACATACAGTGCGCAAGGATGCTTGAAAGTATACTCTTAACCAGTACGCCCTTCCCCTTTTGACAAGTACCTCTTTTGCCACCTGCAAGTCACTTGCCAAACTCTTTCAACCACCTGGTTCCACTGTGAGATCCTTGTTCGACGCACAACAGCAAACTAGGTTAAGTGGTTGGTAAAGCTCCTACATTACAATAAAAAAATCTACAAAGATGTCAATGTTATCTACTTTGCCTATCGATATAATCTCGCATTTCCCAAGGTTAATTTTTAATTCTAAACAACCTAGACTAAAGTATCATCTGCAAATAATAAGTGTGGCCCTCCCATTGCTTAGTTGCTCAATTAATGCAGTAAAGCCCCTCATGATCCTTTTGCCACACCTCTGTGGCTCTGTCCATTATATTATTCAGTGTTTTGATCACCAAATTTACTAACATTTGAGATCACAGATCCCTGCCTCAACCCCCTCGAGTTGCCGAAAAAATCACAAGGACTTCCATTCACCGTGATAGAGGACTTGATCAAAGCAATACAAAAAATGGTCCACCTCTTCTATTTCTTTCCAAATCCCATCTTCATCATGAAGAAATCCAAGCACTCCCAATTCACATGATCATATGCTTCTCAAGATTCAACTTGCACGAATTTCCCGGTTCTCCTTCTTCCTTTAAAAGTCAACCACTTTGTTTGCCACCCAAGGCCACATCTACGATTTATCTTCCTTCCGCTAACACATAGTAAGAAGTAGAAACTATCTCGCACAAAACCTTCTTTAGTCTATTGGAAAGCACCTTAGCAATTACCTTATAGATGCTTCAAACAAGACTAATAAGCCTAGTCTTTTAGCACTCCTTACCTCCTGTTATTTTGGAGTGATAGCAATAAAGCATGCATTGAGGCTTCTCTCAAACCATCCTGTTTTTTGGTATGCAATAGTACTCCAACACCTCCCCTTAATTGCTCCAGCATTGTTGGAAGAAAGCAAGTGTAAAACTATCAAACCTAGGGACTTGTCTACCGCACATTTGTCCATCGCCTCCCTCCTGAACAACGATAACGGTAGAATTTTTAGGTTGTGCTTATTAACACAACTTCCTCCTTAAACAAAAGATTTTCCTATCTAATAATCCTTTTTCTTACTGCTTCCCTTCAAAAATCTCCATCACTTCAATTCATCTCGTGTGTGTCGAGGCCGAACTCACCAGCCCTATTGCTTCTCTTATGTCATGTAATCGTTTTATTCTCCACTTTAACCAAAAATTTGAGCCTCGGAAGTGTCTTATCACGACTTGAATCAAAATAGCTCGGTCCCATCTTTGAGTTCACTTCGGGCTCTTCCTCTTTCAATTGCAACAAGCCCCACACTCGCCTCATGTTCAGAATATTCTTGGCCATATCTATCTCTCCATCTCCTCGGCCTATCTTCTCCTCGTAAAGCTTTTAGACTTGCCAAGTTTGCCCCTCCCATCAATCTCACATGGTTTGAATTTTGAATTATATCTGTCTTTGCCATGTACTCTTCTACACATTTCTAAGCATCCAATAAATCTATGTACTTAAAATGACATCAGCCATGTATTTCCTTATGGAAAAATATCTGCATGGCAGCGACCAACAATATCCTTCTCTATTGGTGCCTTAATGACTTAAAAAATCCTGCAACTCAATGGAAAATAAGACGAGGCTTGGGGCAAACCCAAGAAAAAAAGATTCATGCACCAATTGCCTTTACTCATCAACATTAACCTTTTCCATCAGTATCCAAAACTAGGCAATACTAACAGAAGAATCAAATAGAAAGAAAAATTGCTAACTTGGAAGCAATAATGGAAGATCTACTGAAGTACTCAGCCACAAAGCTACTTGAATTAGATTTGACCAATTTTGGATCATCAAGTCACTAAGCCAGTGTAAGATGAAGTTGTTCTTGCAGGTATCTAGGGTGCACAATTATCCCAACATTGATTCCTTTCTGTTATCTTGACTCAGGTTATGATTGTGGTACGAGCAATACCAGCTACACCAGAACTTGACAATATGACAACCGGATAAGACCAAATCCCAGCAACTTGCTAACAGAGTAAAACTCTAGCTCAAAACCAACTAAAAAAATTATAAAACGATTCCACTATTAAGAACTTTAACAATGTCTACCGGAAACAGCTTCTCTGCCTTTTTAAAGTTAGGGGTAAGGTCTGCGTACACACTACCCTCCTCAGGCCCCACTTGTGGAAATATACTGGGTTTGTTGTTATTGTTATTAAGATCTTTAACAATATAATTGCACAACCCAACGTTAATGCAATTGACTAGGTACACTGTATACACTAAAGAGCTATGCATATTGTAACAATATCCACCCTTATAAAACTAGGATTTCCAAATAGCATATTAGCCTATATACTCCTTAGCCATGCTACAATTCAATACTCTTACGTTTAAATACATAAATGCTAGCTTCCTAGTCTTACAGTAAAAGCTCTAAAACGCTTCATATAAAGTTTCAAGGCACCTTTTGACAAGACGTGACTTTAACATACAGGGCATATTAAAGACTTGTCTTTATTAAAACATAAGCATCAACTCAATCAGTGGTTTGACGCTTTCCACTGTCAGAGTGTGTTTTACATTACTCAAACAGTGATAGATTAAATGAAGTGAAAAATCCTTTAAATTAACATTATTTGGAATATAAAGTATGAACTTGATCAACACTTCCCATCGTGAACATTTATCATCCGTATATATAAACCAAAACACAGATGATCTAAGTTATAGGTGATTATAAGGTGCATTAAGCATTTCTACGAACAAATACTGGAATGGTAAAGCTTGAACAGGTTAAGAAACTATCAGGATTGAAATGCAATCTAACCTGCAAAGTTTGAGAAGGAATTTGATCCCTTCCGCACTGATGATCAGTGAGCAAAGACATCTCACCTACCAAAGAGTTGTGAAACCTACAAGCATCTAGTTGCAAGTCAAGAGCCTGTTCAACAAGACGTATCAATCTTTGTTCAGGAATTATAACTGTTGGGGGAAGCAATTTTTGCAATTCCTCTAGTAGCTTTCTTCGTGGCTTTGCTCTCACAACAACTTGACCTGACACCACAGCACGAACCTGCTGCAAAGGTGATAAAATGCACAAAGAAAGCTCACGGACTCTATCAGTGTTTATGCAAAGAGGTCCAATCTCAGTGCTCAATGTCTTCAAAGCATCCATGACTTTTTTTTCATCCAACAGTTCAAAAAACTTCTGTTCCAATATCAGAAATGATGCCAATTGAACAACCTTTTCATCCACTAGACCGATTTTACGTAATGTGGCTACACTTTCATCCCATTTACCATCAAGGACTTGCTGCATAAATAACTTTACCACAGCAGATTGCAAAGGTATCCCAGACTCTTCTTCTAGATGTGCCCCAGTTTTGTTATAACCAAGAGAATATAATGCCTCAGCTAAAATTCGCACAAATTCAACTTTCTTGATGACCCCTTTTGTACCAACAACCTCATCGTCCCCTTGACAAACCAGGGGGCGAGCCATCAAGTCATTCAATGAGCAACTTGCAGGATCTCTAGGAAATGTGCCGTTTGAAAGATCTCCTGGTTTCCCAGAGGATACTTTCACACGTTTGGATGGTGGTTCAGCATCCTCTGCACCTCCCATAAATATATACCTCAGCCCATATATATATATAACAGGGGGAAAACAGAGCTTCAAGTTGAAATCGCAATATAAGTCCTTCAACAATGAAAACTAACACCCTGCATAGCACCACAAAGGGAAACAACTTCAAAAATTAAAGTTCAAAAATTAAAACAGAACAGCTAAAATAGAACGAAGGACCAAGGCAGAGGATTCAATGCCTAAAAAGTTCCAAGATAAGAAAATGATAGTGGAGGGACATAGGTGAATGATAAAACCTATGATTAACAAGTGCATAAATTAGTACCTATGTTACACAAATTTCTTCAATCTATTAGTATATACTAGTTACTTGGGATCGATTATCAATATAATCATATGTGCTGCCAATCCAGTCAGAATATTAATATTTCCTCCTTTATATCTTCTTAGCATGGATAATCAACACCCAAAGGTAATGGTAAATATTAATGCACAATTCCCTCCAATATGTTAAGCTCTTGATGTTGAAAATCTAACAAAAGCAAGCAACCAAAGTACATTAGCCACTATCAACTTGCTAGCTCCAGCTATAATTACCTGCCACTTAGAAGAGTGTGACCCACCTATGCAAATGGCTTGAGGCTATAAATACCAATGGTGAAGCTGGAGTTATCAACACAATCTCACTCTGTTAGAGGATAAATCCTTGCAAGAGTTGACTATAAAAACAATCAGTCTCCTGCAATACTATATGACTCAAGTGATACCCTACTTCCAATACAAAATTTAGCATCCGTTGAAATAGGTTGGAGCAACAAAAGCTCTTCTTTAAGCAAACATATGACCATGACTGTGATAAGTCGTTAGCCCCTTAAGCCTAGTAAACGTTATTCACTCTCTTTTAATTCCATTTGCATCACCACACCTCAGTTTCCAAACTAGTTGGAGTCGACTATATGAATCCTCTATATCTATTTTTAGACCCATCCGGTTCCAACACAAATAATTTGTTTTTTGGGGAAAAAACATAAGTAGCCAGCCAATTAGTCAATATAATTGCTGCTAGCCCTAAAAAGTGATTTACAGTCTAAGTTGCTCGGACTCGAGTGCGAGTGTCCGATATGGGTGCTGATTTAGAGGTCTGATCCTTCGAGATGTAAATTCTAAGATTCAGGGACACAGATCCTAGTACGGATACGGGTGCAGGGATCTGGCTAAAAATAATTTTAAAAAATAAAAATTTAAAAATATCTCTAAATTATGAGAAATTATATGGAATACTTACATATAGCTTGTAAAGTGTGGATTTATTTTTTATTCTCAAGTTGTAGATAAGTAAAGGATTGACCAGATCCGGTGCGTATCCCGTACCCACACCCATACAAGTGTCGTCTCGACACAGGTGCGGCACCTAAACTGTCGTGTCGGAGCAACTTAGTTTATAGTAAATAACCCTAAATTAGTCGAGCCATATCACTTAGGATCACTGAATAGAAATCCGTCTAAAAGAAAAAGGGGCGTAAAACTCGCTCATTATGATTAATCCATGGATACTATGCAGATCTTTTAGGCGACTCTAGCAAAATCAAACCCAAATAGACCAAAATCGTGAATCAAAACATTCTCTAAACGATTTCTATCCAATATTTAAAAAACTTTGGCGAGAAGCGGTATAAGGATTTGCAGATTAACCATGGAACTGTTAAAGTTCTGCTATTCTACAAGGGGGAGTAGTACAAGTGAATACAGGTTTTGCATTCACTATCCCACTCCACATTGTGTGGTACCATGACTGATCTGCAAATCCTTATGCCGCTTCTCGCCAAAGTTTTTGAATTTTTGACAGATATTCGTTTAGAGAAAGTTTTGGTTCACACAATTTTTGTTGGAGTCGCCCAAAAACACTTGCACGCTATCCATGGATTAATTGAATGAGCGAGTTTTTTCGTCCCCTTTTCTATTAGACGATTTCTATCCGAGGATCCTAAGTGATATGACTAGATTAATTTAGAGTTATTTCCTACAAATTTTTAGGGCTAGGGGACTGTTATAAGGACTAATGGGTGGGCTACTTATGTCTTTTTTCCTTGTTTTCTGAGACAAATTAGGGGTTCTCCAAAACTAGAGATTCTCTACATCTCACATTTATCCCTAAGCTGACCTACAAGTCTCTAACTCTTGGTAGATTCTGTATTCATTGAGGGATTCACATTTTGTCACAACAGTCCTAAAGTTCAAACTATGCATACAAAAATATATAAGTTGTTAAGAGCATAATCCTCTTAGTTAAAGACCAGATTACAATGATCACCCAAAACCCACAGGAGAAGGAAATAAATTTACATACAATCCTTAAATTAGCATCAGATAATCCAAAAACAGATAAAGATTCAAAATTCAGGTTCGGCAACCAACAAACAAAAGCCCCATTTCTGTAAAAAGTAAAAAGGCAGGAAAAACAAAACTACAAATTACCACAAATAGAGTATCAAAAAAGAAGCCGGTGAATTAGATGGATAAACACAAAAGAAAGAAATAATAGAATTTTTTCCTCTTCTTAGTGGGTAAGCATATGATGTAGAAAGTTAGGAATAGAAACAAATGAAGATAGCTAAAGAGAAGTATGATTAACTGTTGGGTGGTGAGGTCTGAGAAGCATGTGACATGTAGATATTGGCCCTTTGTTAATGGCGGTTCGGTGGAGGGACAGATGTGAAGAGAAATGGTGGAAAAAGGGGAGAAAGGGGTCGGTTTGTATTTATGTTCTCTGTGGGTAGCAAAAGGAAGTCATATCTTGCGTGTTGTAGCCTTGTAGGACACCTCGAAGGGAAAGGTTAATCTTGAAGGGAAATAGTGAAGGCCATTTGATAACACGTTGTTTGGATGGTTGTTATGCATGCTTTCATAATGTATTATATAGTATTATTGTATTGTATTATTTTGATGTATACAATATATTGTATTGATTGTTATCATGTACCAACAATATGAAGAATAAAGTTGCAATATTATAAAGAAAGAGTAAGGTACGAGGTAGAATTATTATATAAATAGGTAGGGTAAAGGATAAAATAAGATTATTTAATAATAACAAAGGGCAAGATGAGAAAGAAAAAAGGTAACGACGCGACCACACCAAATCGATCGTTCCATAAAGTGGCATTTTTCGTCGTTACATAACGACGAATTTAACGATACAATACAATAAAATTTAAGTAACAATCGGAACAAATATTGTATTTAAAGTAATAATATGATACAATACAACAGGTAACAACCATCCAAACTACATTTTATATTAGCTTCTCAATATCTTCAATTAACAGTGTGAGACTTTATTCGCATACCCAATAATCTCCACTCGAACTAAGTTTCATATGACCCATCAACAAGCCCCGCAATAATTGGCCAATCAACAAGCCCCTCGAACTAAGTTCCACTTATTCGATTATTATGATTTTACGAATTAGTTTTCGAGATCCACTATGTGATACCCACGTAATCGAGCATTTATGGCCACTGAAGCTTAGAGCTAGCGTTTTCTTGAGCATGTGCATCTCCAAGCTACTTTTGGCATGGTAAAGGTAGTAATCAAGTAGATGTCATCACTTTGCCATCTTCATACTCTTCTCGCTAAACCATGAGCTTTGATACTAGTTGTTGTTAAGCTAAGTTAGTCCATACTCTTAACATAATATGATATTATTCACTTTCGATCAAGCCCGCACAGTGTAGCGACTTGACCTGTCGTTTCGAGCTTTAGCATTCCGTTTGGCGGTTTGAGGCTTTGAGTAGCTTCACTCGATGCATTATGATTTGCGTATATGGTTGGGTTTGATTTCTGAAAGGTTCGGAGTTGATTTGGAAGAATAATTTTCTATTCGCAAATATTAAGTTGGAAGAGTTGACCATGGTTTGACTTTGAGTAAACAGCCTTAGAATCGGGATTTGATAGTTTTAATAGGTTCGTATGGTGATTTTGGACTTGGGCGTGTATCTGTCGATTTGGATTCAGAGGTTCCTAGAATATTTTAGCCTTGTTTGTCGAAAGTTGGTAAGTTAAAGAATTAGAGAGTTCATAAGTTTGATCGGGAATTGGATTTGGTATTATCGGGTGGTGTTCCAGGACTAGGATAGGTTTATTCTATTGATTGGGACTTGTGTGCAAAGTTTGGTTGTGATCATATATGTTTAAGTGTGAATCGAACAAGTTTGGCGAAGTTTGAAAGTTAAGAGAATGATTTGGTCTTCGATTCTTATTTTGGATGTTATTTATGGTGTTTCAAGCCATTGGATAGGTTTGGTTTATGTATACAAACTTGTTGGCATATTTGGAGGGGGTCCCGAGGGGCTTGGGTGAGTTTCGAAGTGGTTTTGGATCATTTTAAACCACTTTAAGGTTGCTGATTTTTTGGTGTTCAAGCATGCATCTCAATCGCGATTGGTTTCATGCGATCGCGGAGTAGGATTTTGAGGCAACTAGTTTTTGGTCTTAGCATTCGCGGTCTCGGTATCGTGATCACGTATGGCATAGGAGTTGGTATGCGCGTTCGCATGTAGTGGTCCACGTTCGCGAATTTGATTAAAGATTGAAATTTTATTGTTTGGAGTTCTTTCCTATGGCTTTATGTGACGTTATTGAGTTGTATTTGACTAGATTCGAGTCGTTTGGTATTGTATTTGTACGGAAAGTTGATTTTTTGTTGATTAAAGCTTGTCAGACGGAGGTAAGTCTCTTGTTTATCCTTGTAAGAGGGAATTCTCCCCATATGTGATATATTTGCTACTTGATTCATGATTTAGGAGTCACGTATATGCGAGGCGTTGGTCGTATATGCGTAGCTAGGTCTTGACCATATTCAATATTGTCGACTTGAATTGTGCTTTGTTGGATTATGTGAAGTTGTTATCCATATTTAATAGTTCTATGACTACGTGATAATTCATATTCACGACTTAGGAGCATGCTTAGGGTTATGACTTGTTGATTTGACATGAAGGAATATTTTTCCATGTTGAGCTTATTATTAATCCGTAGTCATACACTTATATTATTTGCTCTATAATTTTGGTGGTTCCATGGACTAATTGACTCATGATAAATAATATTATTAAGCTAAGACATACTAATAACTTATTGAGGCATTGTGATAAATTGAGTTATATGATTTGCCATAGCCATCTTTTAGCCATATGAGCTTTTTATATGCATTCTTATTATCATGTCAGGTGCCCTTTTATTACATCATTTCAAATACATATGTCTGAGTTAGAGAGTTGTATGCTATTGAAAAGTTGAGGAATTTGGCACAAAGGAGAATGTGAGAGGACATTGGCCATTGGTTATTGATGATATTATGAGTGGAACAGGTTGAGCGCTGCAATAATTGATTGATGATATTATGATTGAGATAGGTTGTGCGCTACAACGATTGATTAATGATCATTAAACATAAAACGACTAATGCTTCGATATGGATACGTCCCTTCGGAGTTAGGTGATTATATGTTACCTTGGGCCTTTGAGCGTAGGCACCTGTGATTATTTTGGTTCTTGTTGGACACGTGTGTCATGGGCCGACTTTCTTACACTCGTCAGCGGCACCGAATAGCTCGTGCGGAGCCTGCACTTCCCCTCGCTGCAGGCCAACCTATCTTCTTTCCCAGGTTTTCCAAGCACGATCTTGTGCCTGTGGTGAAGCTTGCCTAGAAGGTCTGCTCCAATTGTGCCACCCGTATGAAGTCAAGGCTCTTGGCCTTGACTTAGCTATGGCGCTTCTCCTCTTAGGATCATAATCCATGCGCTCCCTGGGGGTTGGCTAAGGACATGTCTTGTCCCTCGCCCAAAACTGAGCATCGCTCTCGCATGCACAGTCCAATCCTCAAGCTTGACACTCGCCTCTTGCATCCGCACCCAGCTTGTGCCTTGCCCAAGTAAGAAAACCTTTAGTCCTTGGCCATTGTCATGTGCGTATTTCGTGCCATGCTCATACATAGCCCTCGCGACATACTTCCATCACGTCTAGTGTAGTGTCGCCCCACAACTGTACGTTTAGGCCAATGGACCTTGCTCGCATGGCTGAACCTAAGATATGCTTACAAGTCGACACATGACGCCCCTAAAATAGGTGCATCATGTATCCAATCGGCACACAGGTCGTTGTCCAACATTTCGGTAGCCCGCGGGGCATGCCGTCCTACACGTCGAGCCTCCGGCGCCCGTTTAGTGCCCAACGCTAGCCCGAAGGCGTCGCGCCATCCATAGAGTTCCCTAACTGGTATGGATACCTAAGACACTCCTTTGAGTCATCCAGATAGACCCTTGAGGTTCCCTCTCAAGGTCTCTCATTTGATACGTCTTGGTGGCAGCACGTATGGGGGAGGCAAGTTGAGCTTTCAACACCTATACCCCCCTTATATATGCTTAAAATTTAAAAGTCCAAGTTCCCTTAGTAGACAGGTCTATGTCAGAAAATCAGAAGAGCCTTTTCTCACCGAATCTACACGAAGTCACAACCCCAAAATGCGGGTTGTGACATCCTCCCATACTCATTATGTCATCGTCCTCGATGACACATCAAGGCCTATGACATTTCGGAGTCTGCCCCCCTTATGTATGTACTTTGTGGCTCCCTTAATCTTGTGGGTTGGACTTCCTTGAAGTCTTGCTCAAAATGAGCCGTGCCCCATGCACTTCTCCCCCAAGTATCTTTCAAGCATGCCTCTGCACTTCACCTCCTTTCGGTGTTCACTTGGAAAGTGCCTCCGCACTTGCACCCTCTGGTGTCTAACTTTGTGATTGACCCACACTAGTCAACCACACCATGACCCACATATCCTTCATGTCTATCTGAATCTATTTCCTCAAAGGTAAGCACTTCATTATGCTTTCTGGCGCAGCTCCCATAGCTATCGTGCTCTCTGGCATAGCTCCTGTAACAATCGCTCCCGTAGATTTTTCCTTGCCTTCATTACCTTTGAAGATGTGTTTGCTTCCGAACTCATAATTTTGCCCTAATGCCTCTTGCATAGGCGGATCCTCCCACACTCAATGTAGAGGATACTTCTTAGCGCACACGTCCCACTTGGCATTCGGCCAGCTCTTGGTACGTACTCTTAGTGAGTACTACATTCTCAAAGTCATAGCATCGCCACATTCACGAACAAAGCTCTTTGTTTTCCAACTATCACTTCCTCAGCAAGTACCCAATGTTCCCGGTAGTACGTCTGTACTCGCCCTATAGTCAGATACTCTCTTGGTCCTGCTAGCACGGCTTCCCGGTCCGGTTGTGTCTCGCACTTGGACTCTCAACGGTCCCCGATCATTCGGCGTACCTCTTCCAAAATGACACCTTCTAACTTGGAAATATGCCTAATTCTGAAGCTTCGTTATTTCCTTTGAAATCGTTTCCTCACCTTGTCAATGCCCTCAGGTACTCTACAAGCCTATCCCATAGGAAAGACACTTAAGTGATGCACTGCATGCATCCTTGGCAAGATCTCCACTGCGATCATGCCCAATGTTTATAGTCCATGGCTCCCACTCTTTGAAATATGGTTGCTCGACCTTGCAACCATGGCCTTTTCTTGACCATCTGACTCATCGGCACATCACCATATTCAATAGAAACCCAGACTTTCAAAAGAAAGTGGAATCACCCATTTTTTTCTTCGACCAGTAGTATCGGGTTCTCAATCTCTGGTGGCATATAAACATCAATCTCTGCTTTGACATGATCTCCGCACTGACATCCAAAATGCACTGGCCATCTCCACTCTTTGCCTTGACATTGTGTCATGGCATAGTATGGCATTAATCGTCTCTAATACCACGTATTACA